GTCCCGGAGTAAAGAGGTATTCAGTCGCCAAGACCAAGGAGATGCCACACACAATTTATCAAGTGTTAATGTAATCTCTGCATGGTCAGACCACGTTATAGATCAGATGGTGGAGTCGGCAACTCTAGCTACAGTCAGAGGATTCACCAAGAACAGTCCTATCCTCGAATAGGTGTCGTGAGGGTTTGAATAAAATGTATAGTCAGTAACGTCGGGGTGGTGGGTTCTCCAAATATCAATAAGGCCTGTATGTTGCATAAAGGTGTGCAATAGTTTATCTTGTCCGCCCCGTCTATGGGACCGTGGAAGTCCATGGCAAGGTCCCCTATCCGTCGCTTGACATGGTGCCGCATTAAAGTCCCCCCCACTATGACCATGCCGTTTGGCAGTGTGTTGATCACGTGAGTTAAATCTAACCAGAAATCTTTAGTTGAGTCATTGAGGGCATAAAGGTTAAGGATATGGATAGTATGAGAGAATAGTGTGCCCGATAGCAGTACATAACGCCCTCTGGGATCCAAATATACCTTGTCTATAGTGATCGGGCATTTGTTATTTATGAGTATGGCTACCCCATTTCTCTTGTTAAGGACACTGGATTCATACGTGATGTTGTACATGTGATCCCTGAGAGCATACGCCGGTATGTGTGTCTCCTGCAGGAAAGCAATGTCAGGGTTGATGCCTTTAAGCTCTCTGAACACTAGGCCCTGCTTTCTAGGGACGTTAAGGCCCTTAACATTTAAAGATAATAGTTTTACAGGCATGTCTTGTCATACAGGTTCACGCGTCCAACACCAACTGTGTATTCCACGTATGTGATGACTCGGTGATACGGCTATACCTTCTCGGCCGTCCTGCAATAATCCATACCGTCTGGTCTCCTCCGGTCCTCCCCCAAGGGACAAGGTATAAGGGGTGGGTAAAAGAGAGAGATGGGTAGAAAGAATAGAAAAGAAGAAAAGCGATAGAATAACTTATAATACAAATATCACCTGGTCTTACCTATAGCCAGGTCCATTTGGGGTTTGTGTCCCAGCTCCTCCAGACCGTAAAAATGAACCCTGGAACAGCGGGGACCCAGACCAACCTTGAAAGGCACCGCATGGGCACCAACTATTGAACATAACAGGACAAAAAAAAATGGTTATATATAGCAGTACTTGAATATTCCAGAGCCCCTAAAGCGCTGCTCTAGCATTTAAGCCGTGAGGTTTCACCATCTGCAATCAGTAGGCCATATCCCACCCGCCCGCCCCCTGAGAGCTCCCGGGATCTGCCAATGGTGCTAAATTCCCCCCTCCCCTGCGACCTGTGTACCCCTTCCTAAGCCGAGCCAGTCGGGTCGGGCTCTATGTAACTATATCAAGCATGGGGTTACAGTACAGCGTATAGGGATAGCCTATGTATCCTACCCACAGCTGCATCCGACAATAACGCAAGTGTTCTTAGCCATATTGTAAAGTACAGTGGATAACACCGTGGGGAGACTAAACAGCACCACATTAGTAACCCTGAGCCTCCCCGCCACCTCTACCCGCCGCCCACGGTTAAATCTTCACATGGTATGGAAAACATGTCCCTCCCCTCACCCGCTAGGGGAATACCGTGATGCGTCTGGGTATGTACTCCGAGAGCCCACCTGTGATTGTCCCGCAAATGTGAACGTCCTCCAGGCTAGGGGGTGTAGGGCTCTTCCGTCCTCCATTTTGGGAGCTCAACCTCGTGGCACGGGAGGCCGCAAACATATCGGACACTATTGCGCCCTGTGCCGCCGTTTTTTCGGGTGTTTTTTTGCCATCCATTTGTCCATGGCTTTTCCTTTGTGGTTCACCGTAAAGAGAACCGTGTCGCTGTGCTGTAGTAAGCTGTCGGTCTATAGATCCGAGCAGAGCTTCACCTGGACACGTCCAGCTTGCTCCGGTTGCAGACCACGCCCCCAGGACTCACCTTTTGAGGCTTGCCTTGACGTGGCAGGTGAGCTTATATTCAAATGCCATTGGAATAAAACTAAAGAGCCTCCATTTTGTTTAAACATACATAGGGATTTAGGTCAGAGTGCAGGTAACTTTCTCTTTATTTCTACTATGTATTTTGAGCTGTTAGATACTAAGCTACTGCTGCTGTAAGCGTGGTGCTTTATTTTTGTGTTTGTATAAGATTTTTGTATCACACAGCTATGTTGCATTGCTGCCAGACACCCTATGTTTGTGTTATTAAGACAGGGGTCGTGTGCCATCTAAACAATATTTTAAACATCTGCTCTTGAGAGATCACGCATGTCAATATTTTAGATGCAGTTTCCCAGATATATATCCATTCATTAGGTTCCAAAGATTTTCCAAGGTCTGCCTCCCAATGAGATATATAATTTAATGAACCCCAAACTGTAGGTTCCTCACTTAACTGGTTGTAAAAATCAGATATAAGACCCCCCTTTATCTTTCCTATTTTGCTAACTTTTTCAAAATCAGTAAGGGGGAACTGAACAGCCATCTTTACATCAGTAGAGTAAGCAAAGTCTCTAATCTGAAGGTAGTGGAAAAAAATCTTCTGTCCTCAACTCCGTTCTGGCTGTTAAACTAGCAAAAAAAACCACCTCTCCTTCTGATCAGATCACATCCTCTGCAACACCCTGATCTATACTTCTACTTACTTCTTCGAAGAATGCAATTAGGTTTCTTTGACATGACCTATGTTTCATAAAACCATGCTGATTATTGCTAATAACAAA